ATACTATGTGCCGCCTCCCTTCAGGACATAGGCGATCAAGGCTCTCCACGACTTTCTATCTCGTGTGGCTCGTAACAGTTTTTATCCTTTTGCTAAGGTTGGTTCCGCCATCCATTCACGAACACAGAAAATGTATAAATTCACTTTCATATGTTTAAATGTTATTAAAATTCTAATCATCGCTTTAAAAAAAAACATTGTTGGGAAGTGAGGGTAGTTAAGATCATAGCGGTGTCAAGGGAAAAAGCGTCCTTTTAACACACCGTTTTTTGTATCTGTCTATATTTCTGTGATGAGGTATTATGTACACTATTTACATTATGCGGACTATTGTCCTCATCTTTGTGGCCATATTTATTACAACGTTTTGGCTGTTGTACGCTCCGGCCTTCTTCAGGTGATTGGAATGTCGAACTGAATCCTTTATTTTGCTCACTGTTTAATGGATGTTAGTTATATGTATAATATCCAGGAATTCAAGGACACATGGCACAGTGGATAAAGGCGTTAGTTAGATCCAGTGATAGGACTCAAAGAGTTCAATACCCGGGTAATGCAGTGGAGAACGAAGAGGGGAATTAACAGGAGATAACTGATAACTGACATCCTTTAAACATGGCACATGGAACTAGAACAGTCTACCCCAGTGAGCGAAATAAAGGGTCCAGTTCGACATTCCAACCACCTTTTGGTCAGTAGGCTTTTCGCTGATCCATAACTCCCACATTCATGGGTTTCAGCATTAGAGCCCGAATATACTAAGACGCTATTTATTTATTTATTTGCTATAATTAATTTTATGATTCTTTTTGGCAAACACTTGTAAAAACGAACAATCCTAGAGTAAGGGTTTATCAGACTAGACATTTGCAAGACGAAGCCAATCTTGAAATAAAGTCCCACTTGTGTAACATCCAATGAGGAACGAACTCAATACTTTCTTGAGCAATCTGACAGCTCTTGCTTTGCAATTTTAGATGCCTCTGTGATTGTAAAAAGCAAAAAATAACTAGCAGTCATCTAAATATTTTTTCTATTTCTGCATGGATGAATTTCACCATTGATTGATCTATCTAATCCTATTCAGTTTGCCTGCCTAGTGTTTTCTCATTAGAAGTCTTGTTCTTCACTAATAAAGCTTTCTAAGCCTAATACAAACAAGAGTCAATTTTTAGTTTTATACACGAAAAAATTAATCCGGTCAACTACGTGACCAAATAACAAAGGAGGCTAAAAGAGTATTGCAATTATGTTTAATTCGCCATAATGGCTGTTTAGTTATTAAAATATGTCGATATCATATTTTGTAGGGTGTTTTATATTAGTATTGTGAAAATGAGAAAAGTATAATTAACAAGTTTTCAAAAATATTTATATGAAAACCGTCGCTTATTCTAGGTCACTAATGTGACTCGGCTGAGTAAACACAGAAAAATAAAGAATTGTTTTTATTTTGTTTAGCCAGGGTTACATTAAGACAAAGTTGTATTTCTAGTATTTCTAATATTTGGGCACCATATGAGCATCGAACTCATTATATTAACAATGATTTAAACGTTTAACTTATAAATCATCGTTCTCTTTCCGTACTATATTTGTATGCGTAGACGTGTTTTGGTAGGAGGAGAAGTTATAGCAACACTTATTTTGAACCCGTGATTGATGCATTTACAGAAGCAAAGGAGCTGTTCCCTGCAGTTTGTATCAAATTTTGACATAGGTGCAACTCTAGTTTTATTGTTGGAGTGACGCAGTGTTGATCAGTTGTTATTCTAGAAGTAAATACGGAGACTATTACATTACTATAACTGGGAACGCAAAGTGAAAGATTTATGCAAGCGGTAGGGTTTTTTTTTTTTTTAAATCTTACGATCAAATCACATCAGGTTTCCGAACTAATTTGAAATTTTCCTTTTTTATTATTGTATAAAGACTTACAGTCGTTGCTTAAAAGGAAATTAAGATGTATTCAGATGACGACTAGGACCTATTATTTACAGGTTAGTCTTGTGAATCAGCAAGTTCGATTCTTACTAGGCACACATTAATTGTGTCAGGTTAAGATAAGTATGTATATTTGTTTTACAGAGATAGATTTTGCATACAACCAGAGCAGCATTCAAAACACATTAGTCAGGATTGACTTGCACAAATATTTAGTTAATTGCAATATCATCATGATTTAATAGTTTATTTATTACATGTCGCATTATCACTCATTAATTGTTATTATTATGAATGAATAGATGCGATGAAAAGTAAATAAAATTAAGATAATTAATAACTAGTCAACAGTTAAGATTGAAATCTTGCTGTTTCCTTCTCGTGGAGTTGCTATTAGATTTTCACTGCCATACACAACATATAATTATAGTACACCGATGTCGTTATCTTGTTTATTATAGCCACAATGTTTCAGCCGTTGTACCCTCGAATCTTCTTTACGTGTCTATTGTATTCCGGACTGTTATTGGAATTTCCCTCAGGACATACATTAGATTTAAGGCCTAGTGGATATAAGCATTAACGGCAGCTGACCTGATGGTTTTGAGTTCAAACCCTGTTCCCGGCAATGGAATCCATATAGTTTGATTTAGTGGGCTGACTAGAAGAGGTATTTCAAGAACGTCTAAACTAAGAATAAATCAACTAATACGAATTATCTCCCCTGGCATTGACAATAGAATGACAGTCTACTTGTGTGGATTGAATAAAGAAAGGGTTTCGTTCGAAATATCGAATAAGACAGACACTTGAGGAAAGCTCAACGATACAACAGCCGAAATGTTAGAGGATTAAACAACCAAAAAGAGAATAATTTCAATGAATAATAATAATAAAACTAAAAGTAATAATAATTATGACATTTGTAAATAATACTATTTCCCGATGACGTAATGTCCCTATTAGAATGTTTTCACATGTGAATTTTTAAATAAATAAGCGTACATAGTACTCTTTAAAATGGTAGACTTACTTAGATTTCTGTTTAGGATCAGTATAGAATCTATGCTATGCTTTTTCAACGTATTTGTCTTGTTTTATTTTGTTTTTGTTTTTTTACTTCAGGGTGCACTTGTAGAATAACTAAAACTCTGAGGCGCATTTTAAATTTTAATAAAGAAAAATTAGTCATGAAATTTAAAATATTAAATTTTAGTTTAACATTCTCAAAGAAGATGAGCGGTACAGTTTTCATTTAAAGGTATTTATGGAGAATCTGTTTTTCTTTTTAGAAAGGCAGATGATTGATTTAAATCCACTGAGGTAGGCAAAAAGGAAACCATTGTCCACTCCTGAAAGATTAAGGAATTTAGCATCCAGTTTAAAATATCAAATGACAAAGATTTGACAGATATGGAAGCCATTTTCTTGGCGTCTCTAGCTTTTTAAAAATAAATATTTTTTAAATATAAGAATAATTAATAACTTACTTTTCTGTTAACTTGGGGCACACTTGGCTATCTTTCAGGGCGCATTACTGTGCCCAAAGTGCACCGGTTGAGAAACGCTGATTAAAGTATCGCACTCTGGTTCTCTACTTATGATCGGTGTAGTACCTGTGTTCTGTCTACATATTTATAAGTTAATCTTATAAGACTGCTCTCGGAGACAAATTCTGGTGTAATGAATATGACACTTAATTACTTTCACGACAGATGTTCGAATCATACTAAAATTCACTTTGTACATTATATATGTTCGCTTTAGTACAGTAAAAATATTTATATTTTTTTATAATTATAATATTATATGACTACATATGATTATTCAATTCAGAGTTTTCCTTCTCGTAAACTACTTGCTAATCAAGGCTGAAGAAGCCAGTCTGCCCTACTATTTAACCCACAGTTGGGGTGAGAGATAGATTTCTATTTTTCCAAAAGCTAATCGTGCGAAAGTTAACGTAACAAAACCCGACTGAAATTCGAAATCAGATCGCTGATTTCTGGCCTCGATGTGCTATCCACCAACCTGTAATCGCGATATTACATATTTATAGTTTTTGATTTTAGTATAATTAATGAATACAGAGTAAGTATACTTTGACAGAGAAGCCTCATTTATGAAGAAACCAGTGAGAGTCAAACTTATTATGTGACTTTTTTTAAGACTATCTTCTTACGAGTGAACTACAGTGAAGGCCCCTTGAGTTACATAAGAAGCGGAAAAACTTTTCAATACTAAAGGAGCTTATCTGTTTTATTTTCAGCTTCAGTATTTTATCTATTCAATTTCAAGGGGTTAAAACTTTTATTTTCTGTTCAATCAGTTGTCGCACTATTGTCTATATCTCGTGAAAATACCATAAAAAAGGAAAAATATCTTTAAAAATATCTTCTTTAACACGGACAAAAGTAATTTTAAATCAAATCAAATTTAAAACACTCAAATATTTTATTTATTCATTATAACAAAGAAGTTCGATACATTTTTTCATGCTTATTTCCAAACAAAAAATTTAAACATTAGGTAACCTTAAAATAACACATACGCACACACACACACACACACACACATATATATATATATATATATATATATATATATATATATATATATATATATATATATATATTATATGCGAATGTGTGTGCGTGTGTATTTGTTTTTGCACTCATTTCATATCGAATTACATTTTTACGTAACTGAATTAGTTTGAACTGAAACTTTCTCTTGATAATATTCAATATTGAATTAAGTGCATTAACAAGAAAGGAGATTATGCTGGTAAATAAATGTTGCGTAAAATGCTTTTTTTCATCATTAGATATAGACTTACTGATTTACTTATATATATATATATATATATATATATATATATATATATAAGTAAATCAGTAATATATATTAAAATACTAGTATGTATTTACATTATTATACATTTGTATACTCGAATGCAATAAAAGATACCAAGATACGAGATATGGAGAACATGTTTGTGCGTGTAAAACAGAGGGAGGTAAGTTTTACCTTATTTTAAAAATCTGTCACTGGTTTTATTTCTCCATAACGGATTCTTCAACATTATTTACATGTTTAGCGAAGACCTCGTCAACGCTCAACTCTTTGTCTCTGTCCATGACTTCGCGTGTTCTAATGTAACGAGCCTGCTGAGCTTGTTCCCAACATTCGTCGAACGATGGAAGACAATACACGGTCCTTAGGCTACCATCAGGATTGTAAAGTTCGCGATCATAAACGGGAAGAGATTTTAGGTAAGATTTTCTTCTGGGTTTTTCTTCTGCTTTGGGTTTGTTTACTCGTAAACCAGTGTCCGATTCGGATGATTTTGATGCAAGTGCAGTGATTGGTGGCTCTTCCCTAGGAGTATAAAGACTCAGTCTACGAAGCGATGCTGTTGTCCCTAAAATGTCCCCTCCTTCTGACTTGCGCCTTTTATCGCTTTCTTTATGCTTTGGGAACAGCATTTGGCTAGCTCTACTGCTAGGATTTGTGTTTTCACTCGAAGACGAGTCTGGATTAATCGACAAACTTTGAACTCTGTTTTTTGGCACGGGTCCGACGTTTCCCTGCCATTGCAATTTTTTAAATTCTGTTGGCGCTGCGGTGGTAGACAGCCGACGCGCAATATCATTTTTAATGCTGCTCATACTGGTTCGAGCCAAAGTGGCAAAATCCGTAATACCAGAAAATAGGGATTCCTGCTTGTTGTTACACGTGCTGTTTTTGAGGTCCTCTTCTGTCGGGTAATTGTAATAACACTGAACCGTTCCACGTTTGCCGCTTTCCGTTTCGAGTTCGCCACCAACACTGAAATTGTTCTGCGATTGGCTATTCTGTTGTTGGTGATAGTGTTGTTGATCTTCTTGCGTGATTGCAACAGGTAAAGAAGCGTCGGCTGTCGATCTGAGTCTAAGTATACGAGTCGGTGACGGAAATTGTTCAGGCGACTCGATCACCGCTGCTGCTGCTGCTGCTGCTGCTCCGTTATGTCGTATGGGTGGGAGTGGCAACAAGGTTCCCGCTTGGGGTATCTCGTCAGTAAAAGCTTGCAAACTATCTCTTTCTTTAGCGTTCTTTGTTAGATAGTTTCCTTGAACAAACTGACCAGCAAATGAGGATGTTTTCTCTGGACTAAATATAACAAGAGGTTTTTCCGTAATATTTGATTGCCACGGCGGTTCAGAAGATAAGCCAACTGAGTTATCGCTTTGTTCAAAGACCATAAAGCTACTTGTTTTGTTGTCCAACTGAGAAGTACTGTCCGTCTTCAGACTGAAATTGCTTTCTTCTGAATGTACAGACTGAGAGTTTGTAAGACAATATGCAGCATTTTCTTCGTTTTGTTCGTCTTTAAAAAGTAACAACGTTTCACTCGTTGACCAACGCTGATATAAATCTTTTAACTCTATAAAATTTCCATTGTCATTGTCGTCGTCATCGTCGTCGTTATCATCAAAACTCTTAAGTAGCAATACATTTCTTCTAGAATTGTTGTGTGTCTCTTGAGGAGGTTTACATCGTTTCCATATAGGTGAAGGCACAGGGAACTTGTACCTTTTTTTACGCTGGTTATTTCTTGATGGGTTCCTCATTTCAATAAGTTCTTTTTGGATGGTCTCCATTTGTTTGTCTATATTTCTGGTTGCCATGGACTGCAGTATTATTTTTCTGTTTATTTCTAAAGACAGAAGGCGTTTATGCCTCATAGACATCACACGTTCGGACTGTCGCCGGCGGGAGATATGATTACGAATATTCATTGCTATCATTTTACACACTCAGACTTGAATGATATGGATTAACCTGCAAGTTGGTCTTTGTATATATGTATGTATGTATGTATGTATGTATGTATAAGTCTACTTAGCAGCTAAAATACTGTCTACTTAGTAGCTAAGTTTGCCCCCGGTGCTTGTTGAATGATGATTTTAAGGTAGGCAGGTCGGTCCTCTCTATTGGTAACATTAATAAAACACAATTACTCAAAGCTCATAGTAGTTTGTATATTGGAATATTTGTACAATCCGCAATCTATCTATCTATCTATCTATCGTGCTGTCTGACTGCAGTATCATCACTTAGTGTTCGAGTTTAGAAAAAATAGGTTTTGAGTATCGAGACTGATAGAATTCCGGATGCAACAAGATTCGATTAGAAAATTTGACAAATTAATTAAATTCTGTCAACATGCGTGCAACTATATATGCTAAATTATGCATTTTGAAGTTTCCCCGCCTACATTAACAAGCACACACGCACACGCAGATATATATAAATTAGCTTGATCGTAATATAATAGATATTAGTTTTATTTTTATTATTTTTATCGCAGTTTGACTGTATTATTTTCTATCCATACTTTTACCAGTATAAGTATAATTAAGTACTAAGACCTACAAAACCATTCCAACCAGTTCATTATTAAAGTAATATGCTCCTGTTGTAATAAATGTCTCTCTGTTTTTTATGTTGAGCCGTCCATAATTCTATTCAGGCCTCCCAGCGAGATATTCATAACGGGAAGTACATCTGAGAAAACGGTGGCTATAAAAAGACGCTGTTCCTGGCATAAGAGCAGACAATCATTTCTTTTCTTTGACTCATTCATTGCCATTAAATCTGGATGAATACATTCTTCGTCTTGAAGGTTATTGCTTTGAAAATTTTACAATGTAGATAAAAAGATTTAAAAAAAAAAAAAGAACGAGAATGATGCCTTTCTATCTTATGAGACTAGAAAGCAAATGTTGTTTAGCTTGTATCGTCGTATATCAAATTACTGTTCTTGATCACCTGAAATAAAGATTGAAAGAATATTAAAACAGTGCTATTATAATATGAAATAAAATCATATTTATCTCATATTGGAAATTAGTCAAACAGTTGTAACGACATTCAGTAGAAAAGAAGAGAATTTATTCTTCAATAAACTACTAACTTCTACTGTTAGAAGGAAAGTGACTGACAATATACTTCTTTGAAAGTCCTGTGATGGAATAGCTTGTTGCAAGAGTCATCGGCTTGTAACAGTATTATTTCTTTTGTTGAAATGGGATAATTTCTTGTGTTGGAGGGAGATTTATGTGATACGTTGTTGTGGATATTAATGTGATCGCATTAAGGTTTTTGAACAGTAGATGTTGTAGTGTGCTGTACGCGTCGTGACACACGGTTCGATTGGGACCAAGAAGTCACTTCCGAGGGGAAACGAAACAAGTCTTGTCACTATAAAATTTTGTGGTTGAAGAGGGAGAAAAAGACACATGATTTGTGTCTTTTCCTTTTATGCTGAATTATATAGTGCCACCTAGCAGGCATTATGAAGAGTCCCCTGGCAGGCAAGTATTTGACCTTTGGATCCGGACTCTTTCAATAGATATTGGAACATAAGTATTTATGTTCTTGCGGGAAGGTACAAACAAATTCACATAAAAATATTAGCGATGCAAAAATGTTTATTGCAGTTTTGAACAAAATATTTTATTCATATGAATTTGTCACATTATTGTTCAGTCATCAAAGTATTTTCCCGTCATACCACTTTTTAGTTAAATTATGTATACTATCATGAAAGAATAATTCCAGTTTTGATTCGATTAATTCAGAGAATTTTTGGTTATCTTAACTTGTTGGAATTGATAACCAGACAAAGATTGTAGCATCAAGCGAAACACGTACTTTGACGGGAATAAATCTGGAGAATATGCCTCATGCAGAAGAACTTTCCATGCTAGCTTCATAATCGTTTGCTGCGTCGTCTTTGCAACATGAAGATGAATGTTGTCTTGCAATAAAATCACTAGTTGACATCCTTACCCAGAGAAAAAGTCTTTTCTGTCCCAATATACCATTAGTTTTGAGCAGTAGTAGTTTGTCCAGATTGCAACAATTCATAATAAAGAATTCCCCTTTGAAACCCACCAAACACCGACATTAAAATTCCCCAAGTAGATTCCGTTTAGTTTGAGATGTTATTACTCAAGAAAGCTATTAAATCAAAACTGGAATTGTTCTTTAATGAGGACATACACAATTTAACTGAATGCTGATTTGTGCCACGGAAAATACGTTATGAATTTATATGAATGAAATATTTTGTCAAAAAAAAAAAAAATACTGGAAACTTTTGCGTCAACCAAATAATAGTGTGTCATTTCAAAGATTACTCACCAAGCCTGTACCCTCATTCCAATCTGAAATCTACAAATTTGAGTAGAAAATTCCTTGTACTAATCAGATAAATAGCTGGAATATGATTGAACTGAACGCAAATTATGTCATCAAAAATGGAAATTACACCCACGTTTCTCGTTAAAATTAAATTTCTTTTTCAGAGAATGATATCTGAAAACTTCTATTCTCTGGTTCTTTTTCTGGAAACTGTTTTTCGGTTATAAAGAATATATTTCTAATAGATATTTACTAAGCTTATCAAAGTCTGCTTTCACAATAGTGAAACTAGAAATTTTCGAGTCGGTACTTCTACAAAATTACTCATTCGAAATCACTGACTACAAGAAGTACATCTTTGCAGCGCTGTATTCTTATCCACTAGGCCATATACATACTACTAATATTAACAAAAGCGATTTCTCAATGAGTAGTACCTGTCCGTAAATTTGAAAAAGAAAAAAAGAATATAAAAATCCTCAAAATGTGTTTTATTGGTTCTGTCTTTCGATTAGAAGATTATTTTGTCAAGTTGTCTTTATTGTTATTGAGCAAACAAATCCTTGTGCTTGCTATCAATTTCAGTTGTTATGCAATACTTGCTCAGTTCAGCGTAATAAAATAAGGAATACTTGCAAGTCCACGGCGGGGAATAAGATCATGTTCACACACGCAGTGAAAATTCAGTCAACAAATAGCAATATTAGCTGAGAAGAATATACAATATTTGACATTCTGATAAAACTGGATTATCGCCAGGATTTTTCTTTAATCTTGAAACGTACATTACGTGCTAAATTATAAAATTAATAGATAGGAACCTGTGTTTATATGTGTAAGCTTCATTTTGAAAATTCTATTCAGGAAGTGGAATTAGTAAATACTGAACATTTCAGATACCTCGGCGTATGGAGCAACTATAACAAATTTAGTATAAGAGAAAAGGAAGTTGAATACAGAATAGGCTACGCCAGTGATAGTTTTGCCCAATACCGCAAATTGCTTCAAAAGCAAAACGTCAACTTGAAAATTGGAGTCATATTAAATAGCCTCGCAAGATCGAAACTTTCATATGAATGTCATGCATGACGCCAAACTCGTTCGGAAATATCTAAACTGCCAGCTGCATACAACCGCTTTCTAAGATCAATAGTGAAAAAAGTTTTTGAGCGCGTGAATCCTGAGAGTATTGACGAAGATCACTCTTCTTTGAACATTGTAGACTGGCGCTACAGAATCACAAAAAAAAACTTCTTCCAAATAACATAAAACATATCACTTAAGGCCTACAAATAGCAGCAGCAAATAAAATGGGGGGTACATATACAAAAAATTTTTAAGAGGAAGTTTTTATAAATTTCAAACCAAGGCACTACTGTCTGCTTTGTCAACAAGTGCCGAATGTAGGGAAACGGCTAATATTGCCACTAGCGCATGTCTACACACCTGTTTCTGTATCGATTTGTGATTGTCGAAGTTTATGACACTTTGTCGTTTTGCGCATGTGCGTGTGTATGTGTGTGTGTGTACACGCGTACGAACATACATTCGTAAGAGGGGATAAGTATTTATGTGAAGAAACACCCACAGAGAAATGAGATAGAAGAGAGAGAGAGAGAGAGAGAGAGAGAAAGAGAGAGAGAGAGAGAGAGAGAGAGAGAGAGAATAAACGGACAGTCAGACAGGGAGCACAAGAGAACAAACAACCGCAAAGTAAACAAACTTCAAAGTAAAGTTTTTGATACTTCTTTTCCCATTGAAATATCGAGCAAATTAAATCTTATATATTTTGTTTCTGTGAATACACGTGCGTTTCTTGTATAAATATGCTCTTCTCTGTATAAAAGCCTTAAAAATCTACTAAGCGTTCGCACGGGAATTTGCTTATAAGTTTTTTGCTTCAGAACAAAATGTTTTATTTCTTCAATACATTATCCAAGAGAACTGAATTTATTCATATTCAGTGATGCGGTAAAGAAAGTGTACACTTGAAAATCTTACAAATCTTCGCTGAGCCTGGAGTGCAAACATTAGTGCAGTCATAATGTCTGCTGTTCATAAGTGGTTAACCTTTTAAGTACATAGAAAAGTCATCACAATCTAACTTTGATTGGCCTGAATCGGTGACTACAGCAGGATCTGAACGAAATTCTGCCAGTTAACGTGTTTTACTTTTGAATAATGACAAAATTTTATCTCAAATACCAAAAATATGCTAGTATAGTAGAATGTTACGTTAACATATTAAAATTCTTAATTAGATTATTATGCTGTTTTTTTAATTTTTAAAAATAAACAAATGTTTAATTAGTTTTTGCAACTAATTACACATGTATATATTTTTAAAAAATTAAGAGTAGTTCTCAGCCATTAATGACATGGCAGAGAAATTGTTATTAGTATAAATTATACGATTCTGGATCAATAAGTCTATAACCTGATACGATTATTACCTGAATTTTGTTCCGAAATTTCCACTATATAGTTTTTGATTTATGTGATTTATGCATTGCGTGAAGTTCATTAATAATGAATGGGCTTGTGTTAACATTAATATTTGTTGTATAAAATAAATGTTTTTTTGCATCATTAAACTATGAACTTATTGATGTACATGATAAGGTGATATTGTAAACGCTATCTAGTATTCATACAGTTTAAGAGAGAGAGAGAGAGAGAGAGAGAGAGAGAGAGAGAGAGGGGGGGGGTTCTTCTTGAATGATTTACAAACATTTTCAATTCATAAGTTCAAAAGGCATAATAATTACTTTTTTTTACCTGTGGTGTGGAATTGAATAGGAAACTTTAAAAATAGACAAGTAGACACGAAAATTTGACACGACAAAGAACTGTGATTGATTTTTCTTCTTAAATAAAAGATAAAAATAAATCTTTGTCATCTTATCTGGCCGGATGTCCATTCACTGTAACATTCTAGTCCCAAACAAAGAATGACATTCGATTAAAGAGAACAATGTTCAGTTAAAATTTGATAATAACTGCTACAAGGAACTCACGTTTACCCCCCCCCCCCAACTGTCAATGCTATGATTCAACTGGTAAAGGCGTTGGTCCTTTAAACCAGTTTGTAAAATTGCAGTGTGGATTTATCTAAAAGAAATATGGGTGATGGGCAGTTGCGATAGAACAACGTTACTATTTCATGAGCATTTAATAATTAATCAAATATGCTTTCAATCAATGATGTGTTAGAAGTAATTCTCAACTTGTAAGCCTTGTTTGGAGCCTATTGTTTTCAAAAATTTTGATTGAAACAAGCAACGGTGTTTTCGTCAGCAATGTACACAGAGTCATGTATACAGGTGAAGAGAAAAAGATAAAAGAGGAGTAGTGTGAATGCTAGAAAAGGACATGAAGAAGTGTGTTTTGGGATACTGTCAACTTTCTGGATGTATTCTTTTAGTTAAATTGAAAATCATAAAACACGGTAGAAGAAATTGATAACTTTCATAGCTCACTGGATAACGTCAAGATTCAATGTAAATCACAGGAAATTACCATCATCATTGGAGAAATTACCATCATCATGGGAGAACAAGGTCAGAGCGAGAATGCGAAATAGTTGGTAAATTCGGACAGGAAGGGAATTGATATTTGTTTGGAGATTGAAGAGTTTTAGTTGTATTTCACATCGCTCTTCCATGTTCAGTTTACATGATTAAAACCACTTCGGTTGTATATGGACTTTGAAACGCAAGTAAAATGCATGAAACTTCAGTTATTTCTTAGATGTAATTATCTTACTACAATATTAACGCATATTAATGAATTCCTCTAAATGAGATTCAATGTCTGTTTTTCAAAATCCAGCGGTAAAAAACAATCCAAACAGATATATGCATTTTCTCTTGGTATACAAACCATTCAATAAAGTTTTCCTTTATTTTGTTTTTTACCTGTTTTATATCTCAGATCACAGCCATAAAATATATATATATATATATATATATATATATATATATATATATATATATATATATATATATATTACGTAGAGGTTCAGCTTTTTTTTTCTTTTGTCGCTAACAAAATTTCCTGATTCTTAATACTTTGCATAGCTTTTGGAATGCATTTACTGCTATTTCGGTGTCACATTTTCCATCATTTGTTAAACACTTCTCATTTATTTATACCTCTCTTCTTGTCTCATTTTAAAATCTTCAATTCCCATCTTGAGTTTTTTCTCTTGCTGACAATCATATAATCTATGTTTAGTCTTTCCTTCCCACTTTTCTTTACTACCTTGTCTATGAGGTCCTGTAGTTTTCCTTCTGTGCCCGCCATCAACAAAGCTGCGCATTTATTGTAGAGCCCTCACTGAAACTGTAATATTTCAATCCATGTTCATTATTTACTTTTATAATGAATAGTTTTTTTTTATCTAAAATTAATCTGAGAAAATGTTATTCTTTTGTAATAACCAATATATATATATATATATATATATATATATATATATATATATATATATATTACTCAATTATAAGATTGGTGTATACGGAATAAATTTTATATTCAGAGAAGAATTTAATATTTTTTAAAACTTTTTTTTCTTTTTCATTGGTATGAAGCGTATTAAAATAATCATGTTTGAATATAAAGTATTGACGTATCTATGTCTATCTTTGCACGCATGTAAATGTGCATGACTGGGTGCTAAAAAGGAATTATAAACTGGTGAAAAGGTTAAGTAGACAGGACTACATAGAAATGACATCTCCAATCTGCATGTAGGTAAGTAGATTGATATATTGTTCCGCTTCTTTGTCCATTTATAAAGATTATTTATTGTTTGATGTAGCGTTTTACCTGTCTCGTCTTAAAATCAAAACTTGTCTAAATAAATCCAAATGTATTTTCTTTGTTTGTACCATTTGTCAAATATAATATGACAGGCAAATCCTTTGTTATCAATTTACGATGTAATAGTAAGCCTGGGAAAATCTAGTATCATGTCAATTTTAACGAGTTTTACAATAAAGAAAAAACAGATTTATAAGGATATTAATAATCTGTTTCCGATATTGTGCTTCATTTTGAAATAGTTTATTCGTTTTACTAAGTTCTTAACAGATCTTAAGTTTAGCAAACTTCCAACGGTTTTAAATAAAAAAGTTGAAATTGTTTTCTTATAAGTTGGGTGTATATAGAAAAATATTTTTGTGTGGATGTTTAATGAGAAAAATGTAATTTGAGGTATTTCAAAGCTTTGGTGTTGTCCTTCATAATACTAAAGTCATTAAGTTTATTTTATATTATTTTCCATATGTAAAAGTTCATGCAATGCTTGCACCCCTATCATTAATAGTAGTGCCGGTCAAACGCTATAAGAACGAATAGAAAATTCGTATTTAAAAAAAATAAACAAACAAAAGCACAAAAACAATATAAACAAATGACCATGGGATTTAAACAACAAATTGTACATTCTCAAAGCTTGAGATTTTTACGCTACAGAACAGCTTTTAAATTGAAAAAGTCTGCCCTTGATGTTCATATCCGTGCACTCGTGTACTGTATGGAGGCCGAGAAAATATATGGATTCTTCAACATTGATACAGACCCTAACGAACCAGAAGACTCCTTTAAAGAATGTCATTCAAAACTTCAATCATTTTAATCTAAAAATCAACATTATACACGAAAGGGTCATGTTTCGCCATCGAAGCCAATAATCTGGCGAGAATATAGAAATCAATAAGTGTCTCCCCCAAAGGAACACGCCAACTTTCCGGAGAAGAAATCGAAACTGGATCAACTTGTGGTTGATCTTAGACATGGATTTGCCAGGAAAATACGAACTTCCCACTGAAAGGAGCTATAACAATTGCCCGTCAACACGAACAAGTAGAATACAAATGGGGTAAACCGCAGTCGATAAAAAAGGAAAAAAAGATGAAACAGAATGTCGGGCTATACGTCAACTTTCTCCCAATAACGGTAGCTGAAAAATTTCGTGGCCAGGAACGTCGACCACCGGGCTGCGTATTAAGTTACGCTCCCATTTTTTTTGTCTGCCAACTTGACGATAGATGGAAACTTTCTTTCTCTCTCCCCTTCGTCTACTACTCCTGGCTCCTTGGCCCTGTTCGACGCTCGGCATTCCGTCCCTACTGGCTGCCTGCACGTCGTCCATAACCTTTCCCGTGCACTATGTTAGTGATTATTACGGGAGGTTACTAATACGGACTCGACCGGCAAACACACAACGCCTGCATTGGCCCTTTGACATGCCCGAACAACGCCAGCTTCTCTTTCCTTCCCAACACATCAAGTTGGCATCCCGGCCACGACCAACATCAACTGCAACAACCAGCAGCGATCATCTGTAACGCGGCAACAACCAACATCAACTTCAACTACAGCGATCATCTCTGCAGAGACTACCTGCATGACCAACAGCGATCACCTGTAACGACCAACCTCGACCATCAATGCCTGCACCGGAACATCTGCATCTCTACCGTTCCGACCACCTTTTTTTCTTTTTCTAGACTAAATTAACTTTATATCCTAAATATGCCTCGGTTGTTCACGAGGGGTCCGCTATATAAGTGGTGACCCCGACGTGATCTGACTTGGCATCCCGGCCACGACCAACATCAGCTGCAACAACCAACAGCGATCATCCCGGCCACGACCAACATCAACTGCAACAACCAACAGCGATCATCCCGGCCACGACCAACATCAGCCGCAACAACCAACAGCGATCATCCGGGCCACGACCAATAGCAACCGCAACAACCAACAGCGATCATCCCGGCCACGACCAACATCAGCCGCAACAACCAACAGCGATCATCCGGGCCACGACCAATAGCAACTGCAACAACCAACAGCGATCATCCCGGCCACGACCAACATCAACTGCAACAACCAACAGCGATCATCTGCAACGACCAGCAGCGACCACCTGCATGACCAGCAGCGATCACCTGTAACGATCATCTGTAACAACCAACCTCGACCATCAATGCCTGCACCGGAACATCTGCATCTCTACCGTTCCGACCACTTTTATTTCTTTTCTAGAATAAATTAGCATATATTATATATATATCCTCGTTCTGTCGTCTATGTTGTTTCACCTTATCAGATTTAACGTCTTCGAAAATGTTAGCGGGCCTCTTGTGACCTCATCACCCTTTTGTGATACGGGGGCGCTCGGGGGTCCGCTACACGCGTAAGGTTTTCTTTACGCAGATTCAGAGAAAAGTTCTAATCCACATCCTGATATGTGAATAGTTTTTGTTTTTTTTCAACGAAAACTATTAGTAAAAGTGCTAAAAGAAAACTAAAAAAAATGACTGGTGTTAATTTTTATTCATTGCTATTTTGGGTAAATAATATCCGATGCCATTTTTATGAGGGGTGGTGTGATAGGCCAATAACCTTTTAGTACCCACTTCGGAGCAGTAACATTTCTGAGGTAGTGAGATGGGTCGAACTGTTAGTGTACTTTGTACGTATGCATATGTATAAATTTCCGTACTTACATGACTAGAAAAGCAGAGCATTTAAGATACGTAGTCATTCACATTCACACACTACTTGCTGATCTTGTTCAGTCATTAAAGCAATAATTTTGCTTTACGGAGGGTCATTTTTAGAAAGTTGCATTAAGGAAGAGAAATTATGTTTTGAATAAAGTGTTACACTCGCCATCGAGACTGTTGCTTGTATAAATATTATAATCCCGATTACAGACT